AAAAGGCAATGGTCAGTGATGACTTAGGTACATTGAACTGCAAATGGCAATGGTCAGTGACGACATAGCTACATTGAACTGTAAATGGCAATGGTCAGTAATGACTTAGGTACATTGAACTGCAAATGCCAATGGTCAGTGATGACCTAGGTACATTGAACTGCAAATGTCAATGGTCAGTGATGACCGAGCTACATTGAACTGTAAATTGCAATGGTCAGTGAGGACATAGCTACATGAAACTGTAAATGGCAATGGTCAATGATGACCTAGGTACATTGAACTGCAAAAGGCAATGGTCAGTGATGACCTAGGTACATTGAACTGCAAAAGGCAATGGTCAGTGAGGACATAGCTACATTGAACTGCAAATGGCAATGGTCAGTGATGACATAGCTACATTGAACTGTAAATGGCAATGGTCAGTGAGGACATAGCTACAGGAAACTGTAAATGGCAATGGTCAATGATGACCTAGGTACATTGAACTGCAAAAGGCAATGGTCAGTGATGACCTAGGTACATTGAACTGCAAAAGGCAATGGTCAGTGAGGACATAGCTACATTGAACTGCAAATGGCAATGGTCAGTGATGACATAGCTACGTGCAACTGTAAATGGCAATGGTCAGTGATGACCTAGGTACATTGAACTGCAAAAGGCAATGGTCAGTGATGACCTAGGTACATTGAACTGTAAATGGCAATGGTCAGTGATGACCTAAGTACATTGAACTGCAAATGGCAATGGTTAGTGAGGACATAGCTACATTGAACTGTAAATGGCAATGGTCAGTGATGACATAGGTACATTGAACTGCAAATGCCAATGGTCAGTGATGACCTATGTACATTGAACTGCAAATGCCAATGGTCAGTGATGACCTACATGTAGGTACATTGAACTGCAAATGGCAATGGTCAGTGATGACCTAGGTACATTGAACTGTAAATGGCAATGGTCAGTGATGACTAGGTAAATTGAACTATAAATTGCAATGGTCAGTGATGACCTAGGTACATTGAAAGTTCTGTAAATGGCAATGGTCAGTGATGACCTACTAGGTAAATTGAACTATAAATTGCAATGGTCAGTGATGACCTAGGTACATTGAAAGTTCTGTAAATGGCAATGGTCAGTGATGACCTACTAGGTAAATTGAACTATAAATGGCAATGTCAGTGACGACATAGCCACATTGAACTGTAAATGGCAATGATAAGTGACGACATAGCCACATTGAACTATAAATGGCAATGATCAGTGACGACATAGACACATTAAACTATAAATGGCAATGACAAAATGGCCATCAGCTGGCCATTTAAAATGCGATCTGAAAAACAAAATCAAAGAAAGCTTAGAAAGGACTACTGTGTGCTGAGAGACACAGTAATAATAATTTGAAATTACTTGTACTTGAGATATTGATTGTAAAGCTGAAAAGTTATTATTTATGCAAATCAGGAAATTAAAATGAACAGATTTTAGTGTAAAACTAATAAGGTCTGCGCAATGTAAAAGACCATCTATGTACAAAGTTTCATTGAAA